GGCACCAAACCTCGGCAACACCCAACGCGACCGCACCACCGAAGAAAAACACACAGGCGGTCATGCCCACAGCCAGGGCCCACGGAACCCCCCCAAAACGCCCACCAGGCCAAAAGCGCGGCCCCACCCCACCAAGACCGATGCCAACAGCGTGCAACGCAACACACCGCGCACAGAATTAACCCAAGAGCAGAAAATCCGCTCGTCGCCCGACCGCGAGAGGAGCAGACCGCAGCCGGCGCATGACACCCCTAAACCCCCCAACAACCCCACCCCCCAGGCAGCCTGCGGCCAGCGCAAAGCCAGAGCGGAGCAAACCATCACACTCCCCCACCGGACGAAGCCAGAGCCATACAATCGTGTCCGCCGACTCCCCCCCGCCGCCGCCCGCACCAGCCTCCGACGTGCGGCCCAAGCAGCTCCGCTGCCATGGCACCTCGATGCGCGATGGTCGGAGCCACTCCCCCCCACCTGCCGGAACCGCCCAAGCCCCCACACACCAGCGGCGCGCCTCCAGCAGGACCCCCACCCCGAAGTGAATCCAGTCCCGGGCCCCAGGGATCCAAGGCCCCAGGGGCGCCCGACCCCCAGACAGGAGCCCCAGCAAGGCCCTGGCCCTCGGGAGGTGTTCCAGGCACGTCCCACTGGGAGAAGCTTTTTATAGAAAACTCTTTCTTTTCTAAAAGTGCTGTACTGACCACCTGTGGCTCATTGAGGCTGCTCTGGCTTCATTTTAAGAGGAGCGTTCAGTAAGCTGAAGGACGCCAGAGTGTTAGACCATTGTGGTACGCCTAGGCCTCTGTCCTGTGGACAGATCTTCGTTAACTTGATCTGTTGGATTTCTGGTTCTAACCTGTCTCCTGTCTCAGTTCGTTGTGCTCTGGATTGCTCACCCGTGCTCTGAGGACTGGTATCTCGCTGCTGCTCAGATTCTGTACTGGCGTTCCCCTCAAGCCCCCTTGGTGTTACAGAGCCGGACACCCCCTTCGTGGTTACTTCAGTTGCTCGTCAAACCTTTCTCCACTGCGGTGCTGCTTGGGCACCCGCCGAAGTCCCATCTGTCGCTCAGCCACCTCCTCCCATCGGAAAGCTGTGAGTTTCAGAGCCCTTTCCCCCAGCTCACCCTCCCCGCATAGATTATGCATAACTCACCGTAAGCACAGCAGCAACAGAGCAGATCTCCCAATTTCTTAGTATTAATCAGTTTCCTTTTTCCTCCCGCAGAGACCCAAACGCTGACGTTCCGAACCTCATCTGCGGCTATCATTCATATTTGTGTGTAGTCTAAATAAACACCTTAAACTGCTCCTTGTCCCCATCTTTGTCTCCATGTTGGCCAAACACCTAAAAACCATGACAGAAGAACACTCTGGCAAAACTGACCCAGCAGACACTTCCGGTGAGCAGCATGTTGCCCAACAGGAGCAATTACGGTCTCTAGGCTTTGCGGTAAATGCAGCACAGGGACAAATGCAAGTTTTGACTGAACTTAACCAACTTACCGCTGCAATAACCTCTGCTTCTTGTGCACCTGCATCCGGGTCATACAGTGTTCCGCCCCTTAGTAACTTGTCATCCAGTTCCCCTGATCAATCTCCCCCTTTCTCTGAAGGGTCGACTCTCCCTTAATGTAGTTGCGCGTTGCTTTATGTAGTTTTGTTTTTCTTAATGTAGTTGCGGATTGCTTTATGTAGTTTTGTTTTTCTTAATGTAGTTGCGCTTTGCTTTATGTAGTTGCGATTTCCTTAATGTAGTTTTGTTTTTCTTAATGTAGTTGCGCTTTGCTTTATGTAGTTGCGATTTCCTTAATGTAGTTGCGCTTTTAGATTTGTAGTTGCAGTTTGCACTTCAGGGCCACCGTACTTTGGGGTTTCTTACCTATATAGCTTGAAACATTGTTAACTATACCGTAAGCTGACATGTTTTAGAGTTACCACAAGGGGTTAGTAAAATACAGCTGATACTGTTGGAAACATGCTGAACCAAATGTTGTTAGAGGCATATTTTTTTATTTACTTATTGTTGACCCTTACATTATCCTTCAATACAATTTGATTTAATTTCAGATAAAAAAAAAAAAGAAAAACTGTTGTTTTGTGTGTTGGGAAAGACCTTGGATGGAAAATATTTGTCTGTTATTAAAATCTGAGAACTGCTTCCAGGTTTGGTTTCCTTAATCTCTGACTGTGAACTGAAAGGTTATTTTACACTTATATATTAAATATAATGCTAAACGGAATCTGGATGCAATTATGTTCTCCTCCTGAAGGTCATCTGCAGGCACATACAGAGGAGAAAGTTCAACAATCTTTCTAACAAAAACTTACAAGGGCTTTATTTCTGCTAAAACTCTTAAACTTAAGTTTAAGTCATGTTCACATATTTACAACTGTGACAAAGCTCCATAACTCACTAACTGTAAATTGCTGCTCAGAATCCCTCATCGTCACTTAGATACAATAGCAAAACTATAATATAAGGTATACATGGATATTGTGGCCTCCACGGACCCTAAACCCAACTGTTTACTTCCTGTAGGAGGTTTAATAAAGGTAGAGGTTTGATGAGACGTTTTATTTTCCTATTTGGTTAGCTTGGGCTTAGAGACTTGGCTGTAGAGACTGTTAGGATCAATGTCTTCTTCTCTCTTCTGTT